AGAGAGAAAGAGAGAAAGAGAGTGTGAGAGAGAGATTGAGAGAGAGAGAGAGAGAGAGAGAACGCGATCTCCCGTTCGTCCGTCGTGTACGTTGACAACGAGACACACAGAAAACAGACACGTAACACCTTGACTCTGTCATCGCGCGCGTCTATCCCGTGTAATTAAAAGAAAACCGTCATCGAATCGACAGCGTGCGAAAGCGATGCTAAAGTTTTTCTCCGTTTTACTCTGTGAAACACCGAAACTAAGGGCGCTTCGCTTGCCGCTCGGCCGTCAGTCGACTTCGTCCGAAAAGGAACTCGTTCGGTGTGGTCTCCCTTTCGTCCCGTTCCCTTTGTTAAAGGAAAGGATAAGAAAAGAACGTGCGCTCGCATACTTTGTATAATATTTGTACATGAATCCACGATAACGATTATTTCTCCTCTTTCTCGCCCTTGTAAAGAGAGCGTCGCGCCGCAACCGATTTTTACCAAATAAGATCGCCGAGCGACTCGCACGATCATCCGAACGGACAACGCGCGACCCCGTTTCCCGGTTCACGCTCGGCCGTGTTTCGGTCCCCGTTGCGTCCCCTCTGTTTTATACGAGCTTGTTTGCGCCACTCCCCCGACGAACGCGAGAAACGGTGACGCCGAGCAACCCCCTTGTTGCGCTCCCTGCGAACACCTCTCCGCGCCGCGATCCGTCGTGCCGATACCCGCGTCCGCGGCTAGGTTTCATGATACCACCTAGTCTTTCAACGCGCGAATCGGTACCAATGAATCCGCATCGGACGCTCGGAGTGTCCAGTAACTCGAATCTCCGCGATGCTCGTAGATCCTATTATCGAAACCGACGCTGCAGTTGGAAGAGAGGACAGGTCGGAACCGCGATAAACCGAAGGGAATCGGCCGAAGGTCAGCTGAAACGACGCGGACTTCATGAAACCTGGCGCGAACGTATCGGCAACTTGTATCGTAACGCGCGGAGGCCTTTAGGGCAGCTCCCCGGTTGCCTCTCGGTGCCGTTCCCCGTCGCCGGCACACAGCGACCCGAAAAAAACGAGCCGAGACCGGAACACGCGACGAGCACGGCGCGACGCGTTTCGCTTCCGTTTTCCGCCGACCCCCCCTTCGCCCACCCAGGCCCAAACCACCCACACACCTCTCTATTTATTCCGGTTGTGTTCGCCGTGTCTCCTTTTCCTTAGGTCGTAAGTGAAACAAAAAAAAACTAATCTCTTAACCGATTGCAGCTTGTAATGTAACAACGTAAACGAAAGAAAGAAAACAAAAGAAACACCGACACGTAAGAGTTATACATATATGTGTATATATTTATACATACCGTACCATTAACGCAACATGAGAAATCTGACGAAATAAAGTTTACGTATGAACATTTGAATACCCAGACATTGTACCTGTGCGTTCTCTCAGACACCTCGTTCGCGGCCAACGTGTTGCTCGCCGATCTGCCAAGTCGATCATCCCCCGTTCACGATCGATCCCCGATTTTCCCCGTGGCCCGTGAGACGAGGAACGGACGCCTCGAAGGAATTGCGCTCGTGTAACGTTGCCTGTTCGCTTTCGATTGACAATGCTCGGTTTCGGTTCGCACGCTCGATTAACCGTCGAACGACGGAATGTCGGGTAAAAGGCGGAGCCAGGTTGTTCCCAGCCCACGTTGAACTTTATTATGCATACATCGGAAATTAATCTGTTCCGCTACATCGCGTTTTGATACCTACCACGTCACTTTCCAATAATATTTCGTTTCACCCCTTTCTAATGTTCCTCGTTGCGGATGTTCATTATTCCTCGACGAGATCGACGGTATTTTCTACTGGTACGCAGAGAAATGTAGCGTAAATTAAGGAGTGGAATTATTTTATTTCAGTGTCTCACTTGTTGACACGTTATACTAAATTTAACATTGAATTTTAAGCTTCACAATTTCGTCGTGTTCAATCGCAGAAAGTTACATGCGATAAGCCTGTCGAACTATTTAGGTCCTAGAAATTTCGTTCGTCTGTGAGGTTTCGTTATAAATTCTTCTCGCGAGTCTCAACAATGTTCATCTTGTTTCCTCGAATTCTCTACTCGCGCCGCGTACGTGGAGACTATTGTCAATTGAAAGTAATAGCCCACGATGTACAGATATCGTTTCTTTCTGTTGCCGCGCGCGCGAGGATTCGTCGAAGCTCGGAGCGAGATCGCGGCTATAGTCAGTGCGATCACCGGCGAGCGACGAGCCGGAAATGAAAAAATTTCCACCGATTTTCCGGAGGGTCCCCTCGATCATCGTCGGCCGAAGTCCGCGCCGAGATTGCCTCGTTTTATCAGCGTCTGTCGCGACGACGAATCCTCGGTGGACGCGATACACGGGACGAATGACAAAAGGAGGAAGTTCAGAGTCCCCCCGTTGACCTACACGCACGTTCATACGACAGATTTACATATGCATACGCGTACTCTGTAAACATATTGTACTCACGTGCGACACACGTGTACCGAACAATGCAGAATGCCCCGGCGATCGTGGCGCAACCGAATAGGGGATGATTCTTTCCGCGAAAGTCAACGGAGAACGCGAAACGAGATTCGTTCGCAAGATTCATGTCTCGACGGTCTTCGAATGTACCGTGGAAAGTCTAATATCGAATATCCCATGCACACGCGTCCTCTGATTCTTTCGATCCAACCAGTTTCTCGTTTATCGAGCACCATACCGCTCGTTCAATCTTTTTCGAGTTACCCACGACCTGATTTTGTTCGGGATCTTTTGCATTCGAGTGCGTCTATTAAGAGTTTAATTGACTTGTAACTGAGCTATCACCGAATGAATTTCTCTAGCGATTCATCAGACCAGCGCCAATTATTTCTTCGATCATTGTGAGAAACGTATCCGCTCCGACCCATCCGGTAGTTCTAATGTTAATAATACTTCGACCGTATAGATACATCGTGGATCATCAAGGTTAATCGAAGAAAAAGCAGAACAGCAAAGAAATTTTGATCGTGGATACCTAGCAGGAACGGAGGGCCGCGCGAACTAATTTTATTATACGCGTCGAGGTTACTTTCGCACGAGGGATCAACCCCTTTCTCGTAGCATCGCGATTACCGGGACGGACTGTATAATTAACGTCGCGGAGGACCGCACCTCCGTCGAGGAAGGCTCAATGTATAGACGTGTATAGATCGTTGTAGCAAATAGCGAGCTGTGAGAAGAGGAAGAGTTTTTTCTAAAAGTTGGTGAGAGGGTGGTGGTGCGCTTACTGCTTGGAAGAGAGTATCCGCCGCGACCAGCGGCGAAGAATGTTTCAAGTACGTTAAGCGGTGCAATATTTCGTCCAAAGGATAAATTAATGGGTGTTCCCGTAATACGTGGCACGGCCGAACACGATCTCATGACTCCTCGTCCGAAAATAAAGCCGGGTAATGATTTCACCGTTTCCACTTATTTTTGATCGAGGAATCACACCCCGCTCGCGGCCGTGGACCACGGATTCGCCGGCCCGCTCTCTGTATATCGAATCTTTTCGTTTTTATATGAATGTTCCGACAAGAGTTGTGATCGTCCTGTAAAGATTATCTCCGCGGCTCCTTTTGTACCATAATCGGCGCGGCCACGCGCCGAGACAGCGATAGAACACATTCCATTTGTTGGGCCGCGCCGAATTATT